TTTTCGTCGCGTTGTGATGACGTCACATACGCGATTTTGTCGACCGCGCTTTTGTGGAACGCGGTTTTGACGGGTCACGACCATTTCAACCCCACTCTATCCTCCAATGAAAGAAAGCGCAGGGCTATTGAAGGCATATTGCTTATGGTTGCATTGGATGAAACTCAAGGAAAATGCTGACGAAGATGTAAGAATGGAGCATTAAATTTGTCTATCACAGAAGGCATACTTCAAAATAGATCACACTCAAGCCAGATGTTGTCACAAAGATTAAACTTGAATGTTGATTTCTATTTTTGACTTCTCTCCAACAATGTCATTTTACTTCGATATGATTTCACTTCATCCAGAACTGCAGATTACCCTCCCCAAAAATAAAACAGGGTCTCACATTAATTTTAGACACATTAGTTTTCTGATTAGGTCTTATTTTGGGGGGAAATACAGTACTAAATGCAGCCATTGGGCTGACGATCTTAACTGGGGCTTATTTTGGGGGTAGGGCTTATATTATGAGCATCCTGAAAAATCATCCTAGCGTTTATTTCCCAGTTGGGTCTTATTTTTGGGAAAACACAGTATCTATTTGCCTTTGCAAAGTAAGTTATGGTGAATTGCTACTGAGGAAAGGTCTTTCAAGCTGTAGTATGCTAAGTATATTGAGAGAAACTTGCTTTGTCCTTGCTTTAGTCTTCCTTTTACATTTTGCAAGAAACATATTTAACAAATATACGCAAAACCTGTTTGAATATTGTTGGAAAGGTTTTCTTTTATAGAATAATTGTTATCAGTTTCAATAGATCCAAATAATCAATATCATCCAAAATGTCTAAATCTGGAAAACCATAATTGTTTGAACCTTAAAGCTAGCATATTTAGGAGGAATTTTACATCTCTTAGAAGTGGGATATCCGAGGAGCATTTATTACTTCTGAATTCCCAATTCCCAATTTTGCTCAGCCAAATTTTAAAAGCAAAAATGGGAAAGTATCATGAATGTAAGCATAGGCTTTGAATATCCAAGAAATCTAACCTCATCTTCAGATTATAGAAGCTAACAATTATCCAGAGCAATAGGGCAAGAAGATGATAACCTTGTTTTGGTAAAAAAATATATGCAATANTCAATTTCAGCTTTGTTTATAGTATAATATAATTTTATTGGCAATGAACAAGTAATCAGAGCTAGTTTGCTTCAGAGGTTAAGGAATCAATCTAGAAACCGGGAGACCGTGAATACTACTTCTACCTTAGGCACAAGGCCAGTTGGATGACCTTCGCCCAATCACTCTCTCAATCCTAAGAAGAAAGCAATGTAAACTATTTCTGAAAAACCTTGCAAAGAAAACTGCAGGGTCTTGTCCAAGCAATCTCTGAGAATCGGACACAATTGTGTGAAGGAAAAAGCAACCACAAGTAACTACCAACATTTTTTATTTCTTTTGTAAAATATGGAATTCTACTAGAAGGGAGAATGTTATAATCCAAGGCAGAATATTTGCATATTACATGTTTAAGGAAGATTCAGGCCCACAAATGAATACCAATGCCTATTTTAACTTTATGTGTAGCATTAAAAGCTATTTATATGGAGATGAGGGATAGGTTCAGAGTTCTCCATCTTATTACATGAAGTCCATATAACAATCTTTGCAGTAACATCAGCACTGAAACTGGGGACATAATACTTACGTAAAAGTATTCTAAGAATCAAATTTGTAATAAATAAAATAAATAAAATGTTAAAAAAGATAAAAGATCATTACTTAAGATTCTTTGGAGCATTTCTTAGCCAAGAAAACTCAACTTTGCAATTTCAATTGGGTGGTATATAATGTCTCAGTAGCTTAATTACAAATATATATCATATTGCTTTGTTATTTTATTTTTCAAAACTCATCTCTGTTCCCTCACTTACTTGGAGAGCCTCCAGTTACATCTGGAGCTTGGGAAGAATCCAAAGAAGAAACCACACTAACAGCATTTGCAGGCATGTTAATTGTAGCTGCAGATGAACTCACCGACTTCTTTGGTGCCACAACCACACTCCTATGACAGAAAAGATGTATGTTACAAACTATATTTTAAATGCTTGGGAATGACCAAATATATATTTAAAATATACATAACAAATTCAGACTTATGCAAAGTAGTCATGTTTGAAATTCAGATATTACTTCTCTTTTCTCAGAATTGTCAAATTTTTATTATATGTTCTAAGGATACCAAATTGTTATTAAAAATCTGCTTTTTAAAGATACTCTGAAACAGATTCTGATTTTACCCTTTTATGTCAACACTTTACATTATTTCTAACGAAAACTACATAAAAGTAGTTTTAGGCAAAGTAGTCATCGCTAGAATTAATATGCTTAAAACAAAGTTGACATTTGCACAAGAGTTTAAATAAATTGAAAACTACTAAAGTTCAAAATTAAAATAAACTGGAACAATATGTTTTTAACTTTATAAATAAGTTGCTATAAAAATAACCTATGAAATTAGTGTTTTAACTTAAATACTCAGAAATATTCAAAACTGAATATAGTCTATGTTTCAAGCATCATTTATATTAGAAAGAATAATTGTGGCAAACCAGTTTCAATTTAATAGTAATGTTTTATTCCAAACATTTAAAATATCCAGTTAACCATACATAAAAGACACTTTTAATTGCAAGTTAGCTCCATAAACATGCAATTCCTCTGTTAATGAGCTAAGGAATACAGTTGATATATATTATGGACTCCCAAAGCAGTGCTTCTTTTTAATTACCTGGTGTTAACTATAAGCCAAAAGTCTTCAACATTCCATTTATTTAATCAATTTATTCTGTTGACAGTACTGTTAAGTAGTGGTAGAAAGTATTCCCTTAATAGCATTAAAATATGCCATTTGTAAATAAAACATATTAACACTGACTCCAAACTCAGATATATAATGTAGAAATTTTCTAGCAGCTTATAAATTTATTAAAAAGATATTGTTACTTCTTTCCATTTTAAGTTCCACTAATTACTGTAACTAAACTAGGCTTGATTAGACATTCTGAATACTATGAATGAATAGGTATTCACTATGGATGTTATAGTGTGCATCAAATTATTACAAAGGTGACACTAATGTTAACTATACATTAAAATATGGAAGCAAAAACCACCTGAGCCCCAACCAAGGAATTAAGCCATAATTGTAGATATTTTTTACATGCACAAAAATTTGCACAAAAATCTATTAGGTTATAAATTTATATTATCAGAATATGAGCTTTGATTTTCACTTTAAAAATAATTTAAGATTAAAGACTATAAATGTTAGATGTATGTTAAATTTATTATGATTAATATTTTAATTTTGAATGGTCAGGGATAATACTTAATAATGGCCCAAAAAAAGTACAGAATTTTTTTTCCTACATTTTGCTACATAGAAAAAAATCAGTATTTTGCTATGTCGTATCAAAAGTTAAAAGTTAAGATATTGTATGTGTACTATTTATCATAGTACTTTGCCATGGATTCTGAATCATTAATTTGTAGCAAGGATGAAGTAGTGTTACTGTCATTCAATGAAAGAAAAATGTTTCCTTTTTTCATCCTATAGAAAGTATATGCATTGGTTAGATGTATGAATGAAAAGAAGTGAATTTGTTGGGTTATGTCTTTAAGAGATACATGCATCCATGTGAGTGTAGGAGTATGTGGGGACCTGCATGCTCTACTTAGCATCCCAAGGCAGGAAGTTGTTCATTAATAACAGATATGAACCTGTTGTGGCCCAGCAGGAGCCGTTGGAGCTGCCACCAGACTCCGACAGCGAGGGGCCCTATGAGTTGGCTCTGGAGGATATGGAGGACCCTGGACNCCAATTTTTTTACTTTCAGTTCAGTTGCGCTCCCGGGTGCGCTCATGCACGTGTGTGACGCTTCTGCGCAAGTGTGGAGCCTCCCCCTGCTGCTACTACCGGTTTGGCCGATTTGGGCTGAACCGGGAGCAACCCACCTCTGACATATCTACATATGCACACTGTTTGATGTTGGCCTACTAGTTGTAGAGGAGAAAGGGTGAGTAGGTGGGAGGGAGGGAGGGAGGAAGGAAAGAAAGAAGGAAGAGAAGGAAGGAAGGAAGGAAGGAAGAAGGGAAGGAAAAAAAGAAAGAAGGAAAGAAGGAAGATTACACACAGTATGATTTTTAACTTTATTTCATTTATTTGATGCCTCTTATTACTGAGATAATATTTGATTTTCTTAGATTTTGTTATATCATGTGAACCCCTTATAGACAGAAATATTAAGTTTTAGAAAAACTGTTGTGCTCAGAACCCATAGAATAAATCATTGGGAATAAATCACTGAAACAGTCTTTAAAACGCAGAAGGATATTGTCTGTGCTCTTTTTCTTCCACTTGAAAGGAAATTATAGATACATTTTTAAACAATTTAGATATCTTGCACTGGTATCTATTTTATATATACTTTAAGCAATTAATAATTCATTTCCCACACTTTTGTAATTATTATTAGGAACCCATTAATTGAGAACAACACAGCATAACTAAACTTGATTCTGAAAAAGATTACTTACTGTTAGACCTTGTACTCCCTTAGGTCCAGTTCTACCCTGAAAAGGCAATATATTTTATTATTATTTCTAATTCATCATTAAGATTTGCTGGTATAGAAAGCAATCTAAATCAATACACATATAATCAGGGGTGGGATGCTACCAGTTGGGGCGAACCGGTAGCTCTGAAGATCAGCTGTGAGCGAATCGGTTCACTCCGACCTTCAGGTGAAACCAGGTAATACTCACCTATATTTCCTTGGTTTTTAGCCCAGATGATAGGTGTGGCCAAGTGGATTGCCGTGCCTCAGCTGTTTTCCTGTGTGCTATGCATGCGCATAGTACATGCATCAGGCATGTTAGGGGCGTGAATGAGTGAACTGGTTGTTAAACTGGTAGGATCCCACCCCTGCATATAATCATAGGAACCTGGCCAACCATCCTATGAAAACAGGATCACCTGCTCCTATTTCTGTGGAGATAGGGAGAACTTCCTCCCGAGCCTGCCTGCCATCTTCCATAACTAGTTTCTTCCAAGGGGCGATTAGGCTAGGTAGGAAGAGTGAGGACCAGAGGCTATGCTTGGGAAAGACTGGAGAGTCCTCAAAGATATTTGCATGCCTCCAGCCTAGACAAAGGGGGAAATATTGTCAGCTACTTTACTGATGAAAAAGATTTTCCCATTGCTTGTTCTTAAATGTCAAATCTAGAACCTCCTTCTAATGGCACATGCCTCCTAATGAAAGTAATTTTATTCCTTTTGGTAGAAGCGGCAGTCACATGATTGCAAAATGCAGTCTGTCAATATATGGTGACATAAGATGAATTGTTTCTGATAGAAGAGAATATTTGTAGCTCAGAATTCAACTGTGAGGTCCTTGGTACTCTCTGAGCTTCATTGTTTTCTTGCAGGCATTTCATTACCGAACTAAGTAACATCATCAGTGGGATGAAAACTCCTTAATTTCACAACACATGGACAGACTAAACCATACTTTCAGCTGGGAAACTCTGAACATTCTAGACCAAGCTGAATCAAAAAATGCTAAAGAATTCATGGAAGCCTGTCGTGTGCGCGCGCGCTCGCACACACACACACACACATATAAACCCAGCCTGAAGATGGCGAGTGAGACCGTGCTGAAACGTTGCCAAGACAATCTCAATCTTACACGGGAAGAGACCCGAATACAACAAGACCAGTATGTATGTATGTATGTATGTATGTATGTATGTATGTATGTATGTATGTATGTATGTATGTATGTATGTATGTATGTATGCATGCATGTATGTATGTATGTATGTATGTATGTATGTTGTGGACCAGCAGGAGCCGTTGGAGCTGCCACCAGACTCCGACAGCGAGGGGCCCTATGAGTCGGCTCTGGAGGATGTGGAGGACCCTGGACAGGGTTCCGACTCTGAGCAGGGCGCAGAAAGGCTGGTTGGCCACCAGGAGGCGCCTGAGCCTTGAACCAGTGGGGAGGAGACAAGGGAGAGTGATCCAGATGCCAGCATGAGTTGTTCCTGGATGCCCAGCACCAAAGAACTAATAGGCATCAGGAACAGTTGCACAAGTACAGGAGGTAATTGCACTCAGCTGGTGGTCATTAGGCTCCTCTCCAGACTATAAAGGACTGCTTGTGCACATGCCCCTCTTGCAGAAGTCAACGCATTGACTAAAAGTTGGAGAACTTTTGTAACTAGCTTGGCAGGCTGGATTGCTGCCAAGGTTTGTCTGAGTTGCTGCCAAGATCCTTATCTGTTTGTTATGCTTGGCTTTCACACACCGAGGTTTTGGTTTCTTGCTAATAAAGTACATTCCAGTTAAGCTTGTCTCGGCATTCGTTACTGGATGGAGAAGCGGGTATAATTAATTCAAAAGACAATCAAAAAGTAAAAAAGAAACAGAGTCATAAAGACTGAAGTATCTCCTCACCTGCAATCAACACCCAGATAAGCAGAGATTAACACTAGACCATGAATCAAGAAGTAAACAATACCCCAATCAAGGAACTACCAACTCAGACAAAGAAGCTAAGTGTATACAACAGCCTAATCAAAGAACCACCAAGGGCAAATCACTGGTATATAAAAAGTGGGTAAACCCTAGTCCTTTCTAGCATTCATGCAATGAGCATTGACTAGCTTGGTAATGAAATGTCTGCAAGAAAACAATCAAGTTCAGAGAGCATCAAAGACCCCACTGATAAAATGTTCAGAAAGCAACAATTCCCTATTATAATTTTATTTGAAATATTAGGAATGTATAATTGTGCTTCTGGTTTTGAATTCTGTTATTCTACTCATCACAGGTATTTCAACCCATTTTTTTCCAGATGGAACTTTCATTCAGAAAGTTAATCTACTCAAATTACTGATAGTCTTCAACTTATCACCACAATTGGGACCAAAATTTCCATTGGTAAGCAAGGTAATTGTTAGTTGCAGCCAGTTTTATGAACTTTTTTCCATGATTGTTAAGCAAATCATTTCAGTTGTTAAGTGAATGATATGGTCAACAAGTAAATTCAACTTCTCCCATTGACTTCACTTGTCAGAAGTTGGTTGGAAAGGCTGCCAATAGCAACCACATGACCTGGGACACTTCAACCATCATAAATACATGTTGATTGCCAAATGTTTACATTTTAACCACTTCACAATGGAGATGCTGTGATAGTCATAAATGTGAGGACTGTTTGTCAGTCACTTTTTCAGTGCCTTTGTAACTTCACATGGTTGCTAAATGAATTATTGTAAATCGAAGATTTCCTGCATTCTTCTTAAGAATTGATCTGGACCCTTATAAGAAGTACCTATTTTGTAACCCAATTATTTGATTGAAACGAATGCCAATACTTAAGATGTATGCACATGCAGCATTTCGGCAACGTATTCTGCAGCATCTGTTGGATGGGGTTTATGTACTTACAGGTTCTCCAGCTGTTCCAGGGTCTCCCATATTGCCCTTTTCGCCTTTTCTTCCTCTTTCCCCTGCAGTTCCACGGTCACCCTTTGAATTAGTTACACAACATCTGTAAAGCATCTTATTTAAATGTAATGTAAATGCCTGTCATGTGACCATGAGGTGCTGCAACCATCCTAGGTGTGAACCGGTTGCTGAGAATCCTGATGGCAATCACATGACCACAGGGCTTCTGGAACAGTGGGAACGTTGAGAACCAACTACACTTGCTCAGTGCCATCGTAACTTTGAATGTCACTGAATGAGTGGTCATTAGCCAAGGATTACCTTGTGATCTCCTTTTGCCTTTTTCTGGGCAGATGAGTTCACATCCAGGTTGTTTGGTATGGTATTGCAGCTACCCATCTTTTTCTTTCTTTCTTTGTAATAATGCTTATCCTCAATCAATGGAATGTTTGAGGCTAATATTTTGCCGTTTTAGTGATTATTGTTCAAAGTCAGATGAGGTGAGGACCAAGGGAAATATTTGGAGTTATATTGGTAATCATGGGCATTAGGAAGCCTATCCTTGGCTTACAATTTCCCGTTCTAAATGCCTAAGTATTTATTTCCACAATTAATGGTAAGCATAGGAGAATTCTCAGGAAAATATTTACTGTATGGATAAGATATGTTGAGAGCCAATTTGGTATAATGATTAAGGCCTCATTAGGTTAAAAACTGGGAAACTATGATTCTAGCCTCCCGTTAGGCATGAAGCCAGCTAGATGAGCTTGGGTTAGTCACTTTCTCTCAGCATTAGGATGGAAGACAAAACAAACTACTTTTGAGAACCTTGGCAAGAAAATTGCAGAGACTCGTTCAGGCAGTCTCTGATAATTGGACACAATTGAACAGAAAGAAAGAAAGAAAAAAGACACTTTAGGAATTACATTCAGCAATCAAGTAAACAAATGGGTCAGGTCCATCAAATTATAAATGTATTGTTTTCTTTAGAGAAACGTTACAAGTACTTAGAAATTATAGTAATAATTGCCTTAGAAAAAATGTAGCATATCCCTCATTGTTCCCAATAAGAGATCATCTACCCTGAATTATGCTGTCAAATGATAATAAGGTCAAAGTGCATTTTTTCCAGGCTTTTTGTTAACTTTTAACATTGATTTTTAATCATCCTTACCTTTTTTTAAAAAAAACTTCTATATATTGATTTTATGTTTTAATATTTTATTTGTACACTGGCCATAGCCTCTCTGTGAGGCAATTTCAAAATTCGATAAATACATAAATCAAAACCTATTTTTTCATCTCTTGGAAGGTTCTCTGAGAGGCTCCTTGGGAGCATTAAATGTCCATGTTGCCTCTTGATAACGCAGTCCATATCTACAGAGTTAAACTGGATGTTTGTGTAAAATTATAGCACATACCTTTGGTCCAAGAAGTCCTTCTCCAGGAGGCCCACGTGGTCCTGGCATTCCTTGAATTCCCTGTTCACCCTAATTATAATTAATTGACAGAACAGGTGACAATTTTATTGTATATTAAATACAGTCTTATTTTCTAAATTTGATTGAAAACATATATTTCTATTTTCTCTAGTTTGTGAAGTCTGCTTTTCCTTCTATATTCTATCTAAGACAGTGTCCAAGAAATCATGATACCTTTGGTCCTTGTATACCTTCACCAGGTGGGCCTAAAGCACCAGGAGGCCCTTGTCGTCCAATATTTCCCTGAAGGAAAAAAAGTATAGCCATCCTTAAAGATATCATGACATGCCACCGTATTCCATTTTGCTGCTCTCTAAAAATATGTATAAGAACCATGAAGATCCTTGAAATTTCTCCTGTTTGCAATCGGTTTATCTTACAATTTAACTCTAACTGCAGTTTTGCTAGAAGCATCTCTTGATTTTATATCTTAGGCAGTGGTGGGTTTCAAAATTTTTAGAACCTCTTTTGTAGATGTGGCCTGCTTTGTGGGAGTGGCTTGGTGGCCATGTTACTGTGTGGGAGTAGCTTGCCAGCAATGTGACTGGGTGGGTGTGGCCAACTTGTAAAAGGTAGTGAAACTCACTTAAAAACGCTCTTGCTTAGCAACCAAAATGTTGGCTCAGAAACTCTGGCATTTGAAGCATGCAAG